AATATAGCTAAGTAAAAAGGCATATGCATTGAAAATCAACAATACAGCATTAAAGTACAGCAAAAAAAAACTAAAGGAGCTTTTAAATATTTATATAATTTTTCATACATCTAATAAAATACAAAAAAAAATCTAATCCACATATGATATCCTCCAGCACAAGAAAATCTACACAAAATATAAACGCATTACGCACATCGTAATATTAACAATATGTTAACTACAATTTTCTATCTCGAGTTTTATTTCAATCAAATAAAAGTCTTTAATAGATAACAAACATATACACACAGGTAACAAACAAAAATCACAGTTTTAAAATCAAAACTTCGACTGTCCACTTTTTATCCCATCAGCTTATAATTTATAGGGTTACAATTGATAATTGAAATAAGCTCTGATATAATTGATAGGGTTATAATTGATAATTGAAATAATTTCTTAAACATCGTATTCAAAACACTGTGTAAATTTTTAAATAAAACTATCTTTTCGGATTTTTTGACCTCCCATGACCATGATTGCTGTAAAATATTCGAAACGTCAAACCGAAAATCAAAATAAATCCGATGAGATAGTTTTATTTAAAATGTCAAATATTCGCGTAAATCTAAGAAAGTATCACTGTACAGCATCCAAGTTAAAACCACATCACAATATAACAAAATCGAATAATAACATAACGTTTACATAACATAAAAATAAACGCACAACGCGTCTATTCCTCAGCGGGCGTATGTATAACGAAGGACTTGTGAACTCGCTCAACTCCCAACATTTAGAGGGGCTGTGGCGAAAGTTCTACTGATACCAAATAAACAAGTATAAAAACACTGGACACAGTGTGTATTATATCCAGTACCATTTCTGATACCAACCACCGTTCAAGAGGCATTATGAAAACGGTGAGTGCAGTGTGTGCAGTGCAAAATATAAGTTCTTAAAGTATTTACTCATAGGAAGTGTATCCCGAGTGTTACGGGTTTGTGTACGGGATATGACTTGATTTTTCCTTTCAGGGGGAAATACTTTAAAAACGCATTTTGATATATTTTTTTTATAATTTTTACTAAACAATTTAAAGTTAGTATCGTGATTTGGGCTTAAATGTTTTTATATCTAAAAAATATGGTGTACCATTCGCTTCTTATTTATCAATACACGTTAGAGCTGTTAAATAATATCTTTTTCGTTTAAGTTTAAACCTAAGTTTAATTTTAAATATTAATTGAATTATTTAACTAATCTAAATATTAAAAAAATAACTTGAAATCGTATTCTAAGCCACGTAAAAGTGTATCATGTTTGTGTTATCCTATTTTCATTTAAATGACTTCTAAGTGGAATACGAATTTAAAGTAATTATTTGGTTTAAATAAAATAAATTTAAACGTATAGCAATCGCAGTTAATAATAAGATAAAGAATATTATTAAAATATGTTCTAAAAACTAAAATACAGAACACTAGCAGCTCACCCTCGCTTCGCTCGAGTTTGCCTCTAGAAAAACAAATCTATCCCACGGAAAACGGAAATCTTTCCTGGATAAAAAGTAGCTTATGTGTTATTCTGGAGTATGAGTAAAGTTTCATTAAAATCCATTCAGTAGTTTTTGCGTGAAAGAGTAACAAACATCTATACATTCCGTTTATAATATTAGTAGGATTAAACTACTTATACTGAAAAGAGTTTAATTAAAAAGGTGTAATTAGCCTTTTTTTATTTGTAGTCAAAATTGAAATTATAACGACTTCCAATTAATATTTCTAACTTTTTTACTGTGTGCTTAATTTTGCGACAAATTAAATTGGATCAGATTTTTTGGTTCTAATATTTCTTTGAATGATCGCTTACGTTTTTCGTAGTCTTCTTAAAACCGTAACAATGCTAATATTATAGCAATTAGTGATTTAATTATGAATAAATCAGTTAGTTTTTTTTTTAAGTCTAACTAGTATATAGCAATAATATAAAATTATTTGACCGATTTTGATTAACTTTTAATATTTTATAACAAAAAGTTTAACATTAAAATAAAAATCTAAAGGCCTATAAATTGTTTAGAGGCGTACCAAAAAGCCTAGCAATAAATAAGTTACGCCACAATACGTTTTCTTGACTGATCAGGACAGGCTTAGGGTGTTCTAGGAAGTATTCGAAGCCTAGGTATCAAATCGCTTCTAGCTATCTTATATAATACAATTATACATATCTTTTACTTAATATGTTACATAAAATCGTCAGAACGCGTGTAATGTTGTAAAAAGTAAAATATGTGATTACGTATGGGTTACTTTTTTTTAACAAATTCATATAAATATTGATGAAGTTTAAGTGTTAGTTTGACAAATTAGACAAGTAATTATCGTAAAAATTGAGATTGAGTAATTAGACTTTATATGTATTTGTATCACGGTACGATATCTATATAATAAATCTATACATATAATAAAATTGTAACTAAGCCGAATCTGTACATTAAATATTTTTTGGATAATCTTATTAAAATAGACATTAATATCGATATGGAGGCTGAATCTATAGTTTTTAGAATTTTTGTCTGCCTGTCTGTTACCGCATCACGAAAATAACCACTGGATGGATTTTCATGAAATTTGGTATGGTGATAGCTGGTTATCCGGGTCGACATATAGGATACTTTTTACCGCGGGAAAATATCTTATTTCTGAGAAAAAAATACAAAAACTGTATTGTAAGAGTATACTAATATGTAAAACCTAAAAATTTGGTTTTTAGTAATCTGAACGCGGACGGAGCCGCGGGCAATGCTAGTATATATATATATATATATATAGAATTTTCCTAATTATATAAAAATCTGATTCCATTTTTTATTGATAATACTAAAACTCGTCAATAGCTACTAAACAAAAAAAAATCGGTTGACAAACATGACAAACAGAGGAGAAAAGGTACTGAAATGTTTTATCTTTGCCATTTATATAAAGATTATAAATATTTGTTCCACATCAAGCTAAATATTAACTATGCCTAGTTTTTCAAGGATATCACCCATTCGCAATAAATTAAAATATTTATTCGCTTAGAATTATTAATTTCTAAACTGATAACTTGTTGTTGCAAATTAAGTATAATTGTCGCTGGTCAAGAAAATTGCACCTTTCGCAATGTCCTGTATAACGACCGGTTCAAATAAAGCCGTACAGCAAAATCCTAGTAACGTTTTAAATTAATATTAGCATTTTCCTTGTGATTATAATGATTTTGTTTGTATTTCGCCATAATTTATAATATGGTGTATTCAAAATATTACTTTCAAGTTATTTTTAATACCTAAATTTCGATTCTTTAAATGTATACATAAAGCATATCTCAAGGCATAACCTAATAATTAAAAAAAAACAAAAATCGACGCACAAAAGTGTCGAGTAAAATAAAACTTCTCTAAATCGTTCAAAAAGCTTGAAGACATAAGCTTATTTAAAAAAGCTCATGATTATAGTAAGCTCACGTAAACTTTTACTATAGGTAAATATGTTAAGCGTTAATTATTTTGTCTATTGCACAATTCATTCACGATCGTGAATGTAGAATTGCTATTGCATTACATCCTGTATAACCTGGCTCACCTTAAACGGCCTATATGATTAGTCGGGACCAGTCGGACTTGTTTGGTTGTACGGTTATAAAATCATCAAACTAAATTAGGTAACTATTACGTATGATGCACCTCATTTAGTCTAGTATCACTTGCGATTATTTAATATGTAATGAAATGTTTAGTACAGAACAAGTAGGATGGCACAGGTTCGATTTCTTTTTTGCACTATCGATGATTGGTTTGGTGTTAGTTAAAGAACGGTAATCATACTGTTATTTAAAAACAAAATACAAGATTGAATTTCCTACCTTTCCCATACCATGTAACAACATCACTCCTTATACACTTTGTATGTAATAGGTACATGGTGTTAATGCCACTAATTCCCATAACATCATAGTAGCAAAGTTCAAGACACAATGCTTCTATTGTAAGTTGGATAAGTTTCTATTACGAAATAGACCTGTACAAAATTATCGTCCTTAAAAAAATCAATAGTTAAACTTATTTTGGAGATCTTATAAATATAGCTAAAACTACTAAATAGAAATAATATTGGTATATTTTATAATGACAGCTTTTATAAGCTCTTATTGGCTATATTATTAAAGTAAATTTATTGTATGTAATTATAATGGTAATATAAAACAATCAAGCCTCAATAAACTTAACAAAAGATATAAAAAATTATACTTAACGCTATACAGTACACAATAAATGAACTTTGATATAATCCATACTAAGATTATAAATGTGAAAGTGTGTTTGTTTATTTGTCTGTTTGTTTGTTATTCTTTTACGACGAAACGGAGTGATAGATTGGCGTACTTTTTATCGCGGGAGATCATCTTATTCCCACGTTATAATACTATCTAAAAATTTATTTCTGATCAGAATTACTTGAAACTTGGTATTAATGAATATTCATCAAAATAAATAGTGTTATTTTTTAATTAGCATTTTTCGAAATACATCCTATAAAGGGGTAAAATAGGGGATGAAAGTTTGTATGAAACCTAGGTATCAACCTTTTTAGAGATTTTTTTTTGTAGTTTTAGCGCGAGAAAAGTCGCGGGTTCTGTTAGTTTACTATAATTTTGAGAACATTATTGGTAATGCTTTATACGGCTGTTTTAAACTTTATCATGTGACATTCATGATGACACAAATACGCAATCGTTTGCAAGGTGTCAGTCGAAATATTCTCAATATTACAATTTTGGGTATAAATATATAATTTTATGCCGAGTTTCTCATAATTTGATCATAAAATCCTCCAATTTTTTTCTTGAATGTATTTTATTTTATTATTTAAATAGTTTAAGTTTAGTTTGGAAGATTTACCTTATATATAAACAAATAAATTTTACTTTATAATAGATGAGGATTAATGATTATTTTAGTCTTTAAAATAAAAATGGTACCACTAGATTTTTCTTCATTATATTTGGTCAAACGTTTTCATAATGTAATTTCCCAACACCGCTTATAAAATCATTAGATAGCGATTTCAAATACCATGTCAATTGCCATAACATTGAGAGATCACACCTTTGCGTAATTTACCAAGACTTCTTTATCATATCATTAAACGCCTTTACAGAAACTCTTCTTGTTTGCGTAATTTCAACAAAAAATATACATAATAGACTCCTAAAACTAAGAATGTTATTTACTATATATTACTACTAATATATATATATATATATATATATATATATATATATATATATATATATATATATATATGTATATTTATTTATGTTCCTAAATATATGTATGAAAAATATTACATTACCGCAAAAATATAGGTAGTACAACGATTAGTATAGTTATGTTTAAATTTTTTGAAAGTCAATAAAATCGTATTTATTTTTCCAGATCTGTTTAGTTTTTCTGCTGGTAGCAGCTGTAGCTGCCAGCGAGAAGAAATCTACAGAACAAAAGGCTGAAGGCCTCGAGAAAAAGTTGGATAAACGTGGTCTTTTGAACTTGGGATATGGATACGGTATTAGCGGTCTAGACGTCGGCTACATCGGTAGTGGCCACGGATTGGGCGGTGTATACAACTATGATGAAGGATCTTATGCCCATTCTGGATACGGCATCGACCTTGGTGGCCGCACCGACGTCACTAGGACTATAACTCTCGTCAAGGGAGTCCCAGTCGCTGTACCAGTTGACAGACCAGTGCCCTACCCTGTTGAGAAGCACGTCCCCTACCCCGTCAAGGTCCCCGTTCCCCAACCCTACGAGGTCGTCAAACATGTGCCCGTTCACGTTAAGGAATACGTTAAGGTTCCCGTACACGTACCTGCACCATACCCGGTAGAAAAGAAGGTGCCCTACCCAGTCCATGTGCCCGTTGACAGGCCTTACCCCGTCAAAGTACTTGTGCCCCAACCCTACCCAGTTGAGAAACACGTCCCTTACCCCGTAAAGGTGCCAGTTCCTCAACCCTACCCCGTTGAGAAGCACGTGCCTTACCCCGTCGAAGTTAAGGTACACGTACCCCAGCCCTACCCAGTTATTAAACATGTCGGTGTACCCGTAAAAGTTCCCGTTGACAGGCCTTACCCCGTGCATGTGCCAGCTCCTTACCCCGTTGAAAAGCCAGTGCCAGTCGCTGTTCCAGTTGAGAAGCCCGTAGCTTACCCCGTGCACGTTCCTGTGGACAGGCCTTACCCCGTACACGTAGACAGACCTTACCCCGTACCTGTCAAGGTGTCCGTGCCTGAGCCCTATCCAGTATACAAACATGTCCCTGTTGAGGTAGAAAGGCCAGTGCCCGTACCAGTGAAAGTGCCCGTCGACAGGCCTTACCCCGTACACATTGAGAAGCACGTGCCAGTAGCCGTTGAGAAGCCCTACCCAGTGCCCGTCAAGGTGCCAGTACTGGTCAATGAACATGATTACGGCAGCAGCTACGGCTACGGAGGCTCTTACTACGAACATTAGGTTAATTATTTAGTCTCATAGTTATCATCATTGTCACCAATATTTATATCTCGCCATCCACGGCCGGGACACAGCAAAATTTCTTTTGACTATTTATACTGTCCTTCTATGAGATATCATGTCATATAAGTGTGCAGACGGTACAGGTGCGTGTACGATGTGATGCAAAGGTTACCATTAATAGGTTAAGTCGACTGTAAAATACGAAATAAATAATAATAAGATAAATGAATGTGGTTTTACTTATGTGATCCAAATACAATGTAATTTTCTGCGGAAGTACTTGATTCGAACCAAAATTAAAGTTTTTAGGTTTTTAGGTTATAGTCGTCACCTATAAAATCAGACCTTTTATATGCATAGTTATTAATCTAACTATTCAATTTATATACAGATAAATAAAATTGAAGTGTCTGTTTGTAATGTCAAAATAACAGCTTTTTACTAAATGCATATGAAAGTATATGCGGAACTAATAAGAAAAAAAAATATTTTTAAAATTTTTGTCAGTCCGTCTGTTTGTTCTGGCTAATCTCCGAAACGGCTGGACCGATTTTGTTGGGTTTTTACTGATAGATAGCTTATGTTATAAGGAGTAACTTAAGCAACTTATTAAATAAAAAAAACTATTTAACTAAAAATATACACCGACTTCAATTTAACTTATAAAGAAATTATTTTACGTTTAAGGGTGGGTTTTTTGATAATTATGAAACTACCCTTAATGCATAACGAATTCACTGTATAAAACAAAAAAAAACAATAATCAGTGATAATTTAGATCTAATTTTTAACTTTTATAATATTCATAGTTATTGAAAGGTTCTATTTCTTTTGGAACAGGAAACTGTTAAAGGTCGAGATAACAGCAATTAACGTGGAAGTATGAATAAATGTCCACAATCGCCGGCCTTCACGCTGTCCGTTATAAATACTGTGCAGATACAAGGGGTACCTGTTAAGTGTTGTAAAATAGATTAATAGATAAATAATTGCTACATCGTGGTACGTTCTACTTGAACTATATACTAATGTACTGAGACATATCAAGGTACATATGTATGGATATATATATATAGATATATATATAATTATAAATATAATTTGAGTACCTATAAGTTTTTAGTTTGCCCTTTTTCATGGTAAATACACATTTTTGCATACACTAAGTTTATGGTATAAAAAGTTTCATGAGTTATTTTAGTCATTTATTATTGCTTGTATTGTATTGTTATTATTCTAATTATGTTATCAATTTAACACCTTTTTTGATATAATCATCTCATTGAATGATGACGCCAGAGGGGATAGTATTTTCACTGAGTGTTAGTAAAATCTAAAATTATTATATATGTATTGACATATCAAGCGGTATTAGTAATATTATACTATATAATTAGAAGTTTCCAAAGGCACATAATTAAGGCTTGGAAAACTAGGACAGTTATTAGTTCCTAAGAAATAAACACTAAATAAAATGCATAATTTTAAAATAAGTGGTAAACAAACATTACAGTGCGACATAGTTCGAAATTGCTTAAAATTGATACAGATCTCTATTACACGCTGTTTTTAACACACCCGATGAAAGATCAGGCAGGACCTATGGCTTAACGTGGACCAAAGTACGAGGGTGAAACTTCACCAACTTCCCAATTTCAGACTATTACTGTATATTTCTTAGAAGAAAAACACAGTAACTAAACTTGGCCAGACCCGGGACACGAACCCAGGACCTCCAGATGTACAGCCGTACATGCTAGCCACTACACCACCGATACAGTACATGATATAATATTAAAACAGATACAAAGTCTGCATCGCTGACACAATCGAGGAATCACACTGTAATTAACGATTACCGTGATAAATGCACTTGCAACGCCTAAGTAGGGCGTAACGCAATGTAGTTTACCTGTGGTTTCATATATATTTAAAGGCTTGCTTCCCAATACAAACTTTCATCCCCATTTTCACCCTCTTAATCGATGATTTCCGGGATAAAAGTATCTTATATCCTTCCCAGGGTCTCATACTATCTTCTTACCAAATTTCATCTAAATCGGTTCAGTAGATCCAGAGATTACCCCCTACAATGTTACAAACTCACAAACTCACAATTCACAAACTTTACCTCTTTATAATATTAGTATAGATTAAAAATAATTAATTCAATTCTCTAGTAAATTCAAAGTTGGACACAGATTATATACTTCGCCAATTTCACGAGGTTTTTAACTGTTATAGTAAGGATTTAAACTATAGAAAAATAATATAAAAAGCACATTATCAAAGCTTCTAAATAATAAAAATATAAAAATTTACACACGATAGAATAACTATGTGTATATTTTTCAACTTTACATCTCCTTAAGCCCACAATTGTGCTCACGAGTAACAATGCTTTATGCTTTCAAATGCTGACCTTAATAATGCAGTAGAGACATATTTTTATAATGACATATGTATGTACGTCCACATCACCAGATCGTGGTAAATATTTGAGTGTTTTTGTATATCACGTACCAACAAATATGGAGTCTAGAAGTTAGAACTATTATATATGTAGCGACTCACCCTCGCTTCGCTCGGGTTCGTCCCTAGGTACGTTTTAAATTAAAATGGATATAGTATGTTATCCTTAAGAGATAGACATATGCCATCGGGGAATTTTCTGTAGACCTATATAAGATACATAATTCCACCATACATTATTTTGTTATATCTCAAAGGGTTTAGGCAGCGTTTTCGTTGAAAGCTCCCAGACGTCTTATATTTTCCGACACCTCCAACAAATATCGTTATATTTTAGCCAATGTATACAAAAACTAAACAAATTATATACTAAAACCTTCCTCTTGAATCATTCTATCTATTAAAATAAACCGCATCAAAATCCGATGCGTAGTTTTAAAGATTTAAGCATACATAGGGATATAGGGACAGAGAAAGCGACTTTGTTTTATACTATGTAGTGATAAATTTTGCAATGTATTACTTGTTTCTAGAAATAGTTCTTTCCTTTCAACATATTAACTTAAAAACGCCCTTCAAGCACATACTTAACCAAGACAAAGCATATTGTCTCATTGTTAAACAACTCACACGAACGTTATGCGGACAAAAAGTAATTAATTAACAGATATGTAAAGGTTAAGTAAGAAGTTAAGTTAACTAAGAAAAATAATTAGAATAGCTTATCAATGTTATATGCAGGTGTATGCAATTAAGTAAGTATGGTAAGATTTCACAGAGTATTGTGGAAATTTTTGATTATTTACTCGTATGATATATTACTGTATACTATTAGGTGGAACGTAGTCAAGCACTAATTCAGAATAGTATAAAAAAATAAATAAATAAATAAATAAATGTGTTGGGATATTAACACAGAGCACCATCAAATATATAACTTTAAATACATAAACATTATAAATATAAACACCTATGACTGGAGTACAAACATTCGTGCTCATCACACAAATGAATGCCTCCAGCGGGACTCGAACCCGCGACAGCTGGCACAGCAAGTAGGGTCACTACAAACTAAACCAGATATAATTTCACTAAGCTTACCCTTGCTTCGATCGGGTGCATCTCAAAATACCTAACAGAATGTCTCAGTGCTTATTGGCCCAAACGACGTATTTACTGAAATAGTCTTTAATATAAAATTATTGACTTTTACCGCATCACAGAAAAACTACTCTAGGGATTTTGATAAAATTTGGTATGGTAGCTGGTTATCCGGGTTAACATATAGGATACTTTTCACCGCGGGTAAATATCTCATTTTTGAGAAAAAAATACAAAAACTGCAATAATGTAAGAAAGTATACTAATCTGTAAAACCTAAGAATTTGGTTTTTGGTCATCTGAAGTCTGAACGCGGGCAGCGAGCCGCGGGCAGTGCTAGTTTGACTATAAATAGAACATTTGAAATGATAATTACGAAAATTATAATAATTCATGAATATACAGCGGATGAAGGCACTAAAAACTTTTGAATTATAATAAAACTAAAAGGCTTATTTTATCTTAAAATATCATTAGAGAATGATATGTTATTTCATTTTCCTATTTTAAAACTTTTACTTAATAATCTTTAAAATAAGTCTTTACATAAGAAATCGTCAAAATTTTATCCAGTTATTAGAATTTATAAAGGACAGACGAACGCACAACTTGATTAAGGATGAATGTTACGCTTCAAACCTTATACCACAGATCATAATTATAATACTACTAGCATTGCCCGCGGCTCCGCCCGTTCAGATGATCAAAAACCAAATTTTTAGGCTTTACATATTATTATACTCTTACAATAAAGTTTTTGTATTTTTTGTCAGAAATAAGATATTTTCCCGCAGTAAAAAGTATCCTGTATTTGATATATTGACCTGGATAATCAGCTATCATCATACCAAATTTCATCAAAATTTGTCCAGTGGTTTTCTCGTGATGCGGTAACAGACAGATAGATAGACAGACAGAAAGACAGACAGACAAAAATTCTAAAAACTATAGATTCGGACCTTGTATCGATAATAATGTCTATTTCAATTAGATTTTCCAAAAAATATTTAATGTACAGATTCGACTTTGTTACAATTTTATTATATGTATAGATACTTTTAAACTGACAAAGTTACGCCATCTATAATACGCGTGTAGAAACTAATTTTGACATACGATCATGTGTGTATTGCTATTGTTTACTTAATGCAGCCGGTCACCGACAGAGGTCTATGCATTAATTGTGATAAAAGAATAATAAAATTATACTTATACTAGTGCCTTCTCCTAGCCCTGCTCAGGTGCACCTCTACAAATACGATTTTTTTTCGACTTAATTCATATTTACTGATAGATTATAATTTTTGTAAAATGTTTATATATTATAGATCATAATTTTCGCAGATAATATTTTATTGGTGAAAACAATATGAAAAACAATGCAGTAGTTTTTTGATTTTGGGCTTTTTCCCTAGAAAGGA